GAACGGAGCAAATAAAAGCATCCTTCACTCTCGGTGACGCTACAAAACATTCGTGCCTACGCGTTCTTCTGTGAAATTAACACAAACTTCTTCCTAAAACCGCTACATGAAGGCTAATTTTGGTTTTCATAGAATGGGCAGAAAGGTAAGGTGGTATACTTGCACTCTGTACATGCCGGGCATTTGGGCGCATGCCAGAAACGCAATGTCAACGAAAGGTTGGCGCAAATGCACTCCGGCCACAGAAAAGGTCCCTTCTCATCACAGAACTAGCATTCTGCGCATTTCAGATCATTTTTCACCACGGTATACATAGCCTGGCCCATGAGGAGAGAAGACATGAACTTGGCACAGTGGAGTGGGGGGAGTGATAGGACCTTTAACCTTGCAGACTGAGAAGTGACAGGGCATTGAAGGGCAGGTCTGCGTAACTCCCAAAGCCGCCTCCCTCCCTCCCTGACTAACATACTTGACTATTTACAATGATCCACCGAGCATCCCAATGAATCGACTTCCTCCCTTTGCCCCCAATGTTATCGGGGTTCTTAAGCGCTGGCCCCTAGGGCCTCTCTCCATTGCTGTGACCCTTGGTTTGGGATAAGTCATCCCCCACTTCCCCATCTTCGTGGACCCGCTGGTGCAGCGTGAGGTTGCGGAGCTGGCGGAAGCTTTTGCTGCAGCGCATGCACGGGTAGGGCCGCCCGGCTGCCGCCGCCGCGTGGATCTGCTGGTGGGCCGCCAGCTTGGACGGGTAGCAAAAGCTCTTCCCGCAGCGGTTGCAAGGGTAGGGCCGTTGCCCCGTGTGCGTTCGGCGGTGGGCCGCCAGCTTGGACGGGTAGCAGAAACTCTTGGGGCAATCGGCGCATTTGTAAGGGCGCTCCGGGGTATGGATCCACTGGTGGGCGGCCAGCTTGGAGCGGTGTCCGAAGCGCTTGGGGCACAAGGTGCAGGGGTACGGGCGCTCCCCGGTGTGGGTGCGGCGGTGGGCCGCCAGCTTGGATGGGTAACTGAAGCTCTTTGGGCAATCGGGGCATTTGTAGGGGCGCTCGGCGCAGTGGGTCCATTGGTGGGTGGCCAGCTTGGAGCGGTAGACGAAGCGCTTGCCGCAGTCTTTACACTGATAGGGGCGGTCCGAGGGCAGGACGGCGGGGGGCCGTGGACGGCGGGGCCGGGCTGGCTTAGGGGACTCCGTGGTGGGCAGAGAAGGCAGGGCCGTGGGCGAAGGTGATTTCGCGTTCTCCTTCAGAGCCTGGGAGTCTGGAACAAAATAAAACAAATCCAACATGGTTGAGAAAGGTAGCCTTTGCAAGCGCTGGACCACATCATCGTCATCTTGTAGCTAATCACTCACCAGCATATAGAGTACATAACAGAGACATGGTAATGCTTACTTATAAGGCCCTAAACGG